CACATTTTTTTTGGTAATTTTTGTTTTTTGGTAAATTTTAATTCATTTGATCCGATGGTGAAAATTGAGAAGAGTGAGTGGAGGTAAAAATAGGTGTGAATAGCACCACCTTTTCTATCTGATAGCCAAGTACGTATAATCAAACATAAGCAACCTTAGTATTTTTTATTTTTTTTTGAAAACCTTGGCAGGATGAGGTAAATTTATTGATAGGAAAAAAGAAGTTATACCTAGTCAGGAGGGGACATAAACCTTACCCCCTCATAGAACAAGAAAAACAAAATACAAAGAGGGGGGACGTATACCTTACCCCTTTTGAAAAAGAAAATACAAGAAAAAGAGGGGGGAGGGGGGACATAGACCATATCCCTTTTGAAAAAGAAAATACAAGAAAAAGATTGAGTGGACATATACCTAAACCCTTCTATAAACCTTAAAAGGTATGAACCTGCAAGACAAGCTGCAAAACGAAAAAGGAAATCCAAAAAATTACGTTAAAAAGGGAAATCACACATCAAGAAGGGAAGACAAACTTGTAGGCTGGCATGCCCAAGAAGTCAAAGTGCAGAAGAGGAAGAATCTCTATAGGAGGAGCGGAATGCCAAACAAGTGAAGATAAGAGAAGCCCTAAATTGGTTATTTTGTCAGCAACGACATTCCCTTCTCGAAATGTATGAGAGCAACGGAAAACCATGTTTTGCAAACGAAGAATACAATTGTCCCAGCGTGTCTGGAGCGACCAAGGAGGAGAGAAGGATCCAGAAGCAAAATAGGATATCACACTAGAAGAGTCACTTTCAAGCCATAAATTTTGCCAACCCCACGCATGAGCCAATTCCACAGCAAGGATGACAACATGGAGATCCGCATAGAAAGAAGCACGATGCCCCAAGCTTAGGGAGAAACCACCAAGAAAATATCCCGCAAAATCTCTGAAAACCCCGCACAAGCCGCAGGACCCGGGTTACCTTTAGCAAGGCCATCATTATTCACTTTGACCCAAGAAAAAGGAGGGGAGTGCCAAATAACATGGACTATAAAAGGAGCTTTACAAGACTTAGCCGAGATTCCAAGAGAGACTAAAAGTTGCCTATCCAAAATGCCTCGTACATGACCAGGGGTGAGAACTCTAACTTGCCTAATCCAGGTCAAGGTGGAACGACATGAGTTATTGTCAATTGTTGATTGATTATGGGGTCACCCTAATGTGACTCTTTGGTAGGGTTTTTGCATAAGCCAACTTTTTTACATGAGTGATTGTTAATTGTTGGTCGATCAGCGTCACCTGAAGAAATTCTTTGGTTAAATTGCTATGCAAATGTCACCTTTCTCACATGAGTGGTCTCAACGGTGGGGCCGGGTAAAACCAAAATCCAGGGAAGTTCATGCTCACCAAAGCAAATCTCAGTAGAAAAATAACCTCGGATCAATAAAAAATTCCAAAGCAAGATCAACCCGTTTAAGGCTATGGTGCTCGTCTAGTTGTCTTTGTGCCTTTTTTCTATACATTTGGAAGCATATTCGTGCGTGAAACTGCCAGTGCCAGATCACTTGAGGCAACAAATCCAGGCCCCACATTTTATTCGTTTCTATTGCCCCCACCCCCACTGAAAGTGACCGTTAGAATTTGAACGTTATAAGCCTACCGTTTTCCAGTCCCACTTTTTTAATTCTTGTCGCTCACTTCGCTCTTCTGGACAGAATCAGAAACCCCCAGATCATCATACTTCACTCTACAAAAGTATTAATTACATGTACACACACACACACTTATTAGCAGCATATATACACCTATATATAAATACTCTTAGTCTCATCATAACTCAAAGAAATGAAAGCTTTGGAGAAGTGAAAGTAGTAGCAGAAACTAGAAGAAGAAAGGGAGATCTTTGTCTCACCCAAGAAGCTGAAGTTGCTGCCTGTCAAGAAGTGTTTGTATGTGGTCAAGGCAAGCACCTTCTTGACCATCTTATCTGGCTTCAAATTCGCATTCACTGCTTCTTCTAAAATCACATCGAACACCTTCCCGAAATCAGCCGTCCAGTCCTGGCTTTTGATCAAAGTCTGCATATATTTGGTATTCGAATTAAGATCCTAGCCTTGTATCGAATGCAGCTGCAGGTTTTTGCTTTAGGTGACCACATTTCCCTTCCATGGCTCGTCACTCAATTGAGGCAACAAAAGCCCCAAAGCCAAACCCGCCGACAAGGAGTTGTCGACATCACACACAGCCAACCAATTCTTCAGCTTCCCCTGCTTTAAGTAGACCTTCACCATTTTCTTCCACTTAACATCAGCATCTTGCTCGAGCTCGGGATACATGACATAGCTTAATATGTCATGCGGAAGCAGCGCGGCATCTCCAGGATCAATCTCATTGGCTGCAGCTAGTTGCCTTCGCTTGGACTCCGCTCTATAACCCCACCGGTTGGCAGGTTCCCAGCCCTCTGGCGCCTTAGTTTTTCTCAAGGGCGACAAAACCTCCTTCCTCAGTCGGTAATTACAACAAACACTACCGTCCCCTTCTCGGCGGCATGATTCTGGCGGGAAAACCTTCCTTGCTATGTTTTTGAACAGCATATGATGATCAGCGGTGGTAGGCAAAGAGGTAGCCGATTGGGTAATCTCCAAGCAGTAATCATCATGACGGTCATGGTCATGATCCTTGTGATGATGAAATTTTTCAATATCAGACTTGAGGCACTGGGCGAAAATATCCAAAACACAGCCGTGCAAGAAGCGGTAATCAGCGTCGCGCTCTTATCTCTGAGCCGCCTTGTTGGCCGTGTGGATCCCCTTCCTCCTCAACAACAATTCGCTTGCCTTTGACTTGGCGTCCTTTTCCTTTACCTTCACCATTCCGTTTGAATCCGCCTCCTCCCTCGTCCTCCCAGTAAATTTCAAGTGAGCTTCGCCCCGTAGAACCTGCGAGAGAATGCAGGGAAGGTCTAGGATATGTCCGAAGGAGCCGGAAATTGGCACGAGATTGTAAGCAAGGGTTTTGGGGTGGTTCTGGTGGAGACAACCGCCGCCGTGAAGAAAGCTGTCTTGGTTGCGTTTTCCATCGTCGCCGCGTCTGTGTATGAAGTTCCAGATGAGGGAAGCACTTGGTTCATCAGAGTTTCGTGGAATTCCACGGTCGACATGGCGTCCTGTCCCTTGGCGCAGTGGAAGTACATATCAACGCAAGGGTTGTTGTGGAAGCGTAACTGGGGCTGTTGTTTGAAGTTGAACTGCTCGGGCGGCGGCGGAGGGGGCGGAGGCGGAGCAATTCTTGTGAATTGCGGCCAAACGGCCTTGTTTCGGCATGCTTCCAGAATCGATATCATGTTCACTCGCAGCACGGGCTTCGTCATCATCGTTTTCATCGCAGCAGCTCAAATTCGAATTGAATAAATTAGTTGTATAGTTACTCTCTTTGCTTTCCCGATGAATTTCTCTCTTCTTATATTTCTCTGTTTGCTTGGGAACCAAGGATTAGTTTTCCTCAATATATTCATATGATTAGGTTTCCTAAAACAAAAAAAATATGATTAGGATTTTCGATTATATGCACCAATTTTTACACCGTCGATTTCCTTAGACTTTTGACCAAATAAAAAAAGCAACGATCTTAATCATCTATTGTCTAACAAATATTATACACCGAAACATAATAAAATTTTCTACAAAATTTAATCTACCTATCATTTATAAAAATAATTCAAATATTTTTTTTAGGGGTGTGATATCCACACATCCCTTTTTACTTCTCCCACACATTTTTGGTTTTCAGCCGTCGGATCGGATGAATTAAAGAAGATCAACAGACATAAATTAACAAAGGATGTGTAAGAAGTAAAAAGGGGTGTGTGGATAGCACACCCCTTTTTTTATCTTCCATACATTTATAAATTCATATATATGCTAATATATATAGTACGTACTTATATCATGTTTACTCATTTTTAAGCTTGTTGGAGAGGTGGAAACTAGGCTTGGGCACCATGAATTTCCTACTTGGGCTCTAGCTCCAACGCGAGAAATCTTCTAAACAGAAAGGGCATTTATAATTCAATTCAAATACATATACTTACTTTCTTTTTTTTTTTAGTGAAAAATACTTAAATTTACTTTGATTTAGCATACCAAAATTTTCCTTGACTTGATAGAGACGAATTAAAACTTGGGTGTACAAAAAAAGGCACATTGATGTGATCTACTGACCTCAAATGACTAGCATCATACAATTACACGTCGTAGGTCCAATAGTTAGAAGTGATGAGGCCAACTAGCTTAGTTTTATGTTTTGACTAGTTATTTTCGGTTTAAGTTGAGCTAGTCCAATAGTTAAAAGTGATGAGGCCAACTAGCTTAGTTTTATGTTTTGACTAGTTCTTTTCGGTTTAAGTTGAGCTAGTCTTGCATGTATGTTTCTTGGATACAACTAGGTTTTTTGACACTTCCCGATCCCGATATTCCACGAACACCAAGATAGGCATGTGTTAGCCGACACCCAAGCGTGACGAAAACCATTTATTGAATGCAAATGCTGAGAATAAGGAATAAATAAGACTTATAAATTTAAATATAATGAATATGCATTTAAGGAACGTGTACAACTAACTAGAATACTAAAAGAAATAATATAAAATTGAATGAATAAAAGAATGGGTCCTACACCGAGAGGACTCGAAGATGCCGATGCGAAAGTGCCTTGACGCCAGAATTGTATACCTGGATTCTAAGTCCTAAAGGGGGCACAAAACAAACGTGAGTGGACCAAGTTGATATATATATATATATATATAGTAAAACAATTATCAACATTGTTAAAATGCATGAAATAAACATGTTGGAATAATGGTGAAATTAGGCTAGTCAACTTTCTTGTTCAAAGTTAGGCAAGTTAGGTTAGTCAAGCAAGATAGGTAAGTTAGGCAAAATTAGGCTTATGATCTTTTTCTTCCCTATATATATGTTTCATCTTGTAATTGTTTCATCAAGCAAATATTCATCAAAATTCAATATGGTATCAGAGCTGTGATCTGGGAAAAACCACAAAACACAGCTCTAAAGCAGCCACGAGGTCAACCATTCTAGGCATGGCCTCTCATTCAAAATGGGAAAATCCCAACCACCCGCTCTATCTCCACCACTCGGATCAACCTGGTGCAATCCTCGTACCACAACCATTGGTGGAAGACAACTACAACACATGGGTTCAATCCATGAGTATGGCTTTAACGATCAAGAACAAACTTGGTTTTGTTGATGGAACGATCAACAAACCAAGTGAGGATAATTTTGAGGAGCTGCAGCAATGGAATCGCTGCAACAACTTGGTCAAGACATGGTTACTAGGCTCCATGTCAAAGGAGATTTCAGGGAGTGTCATCAACTACAAGGATGCTCGACAAATGTGGACCGATCTGCAGGAGAGGTTCTCACATGTGAATATAGTTCAGCTGTTCCATGTTGAGAACGAGATCCATGATTGTGTCCAAAGCAATATGAGTGTAAGTTCTTACTTCACTAAACTTAAAAGTTTATGGGATGAACGTGATACTTTGTGTTCCATTCCAGCATGCAGTTGTGGAACAAAGAATGAGATGAACTCATATGTTGAAACTCAGAAAACCATGAAGTTCCTTATGGGACTGAACGAATCGTATGCTACGGTTCGAAGCAATACTCTTCTTCTCGAACCACTGCCTACGGTGAACAAGGCATATGCGTTGGTCCTTCGACATAAACGCCAGGCAGAGGTTTCCAATGGGAAAAGCACACAACTAGAAACTGCTGTCTTTGCAGTGAAGAATCTGTCGCGAGAACCTACACCTGAAGACAAGGAGATGCGATGTGGAAAGTGCAATAAAACCAATCACATCACCAAAAATTGTCGTGCACATCTCAAGTGCACTTTTTGCGGATGGAAAGGCCACACGTTCGATTTCTGTCGAAAACGGAAAGCAGCCACAGAGACCGAATCCAATCGTCTCTTTTCTTCAAAGGGGAATCAAGTTTCACAAAGTAACAAGCAAGAGACAGTGCCTAATTTCCCGTTCTCTCAGGAGGACTGCAAGCAAATCCTTCAGATGTTGAACAAGAACAAATCATCATTTGCCAATCAAGTCAGTAATCTTCCTAGTCATGAAGAACTTTCAGGTAAAGCCTTCTCCTTTTCATGTAAAGGAACCAAAAGTATTTGGATCCTGGACAGTGGTGCCACAGATCACATAGTTTGCAGTCCTAGTCTCCTTACACACTCATGAGCTGTTGAAAATCATACAGTTGAACTGCCAAATGGTTCCGTTGCCAAAGTCACTCACATTGGACAAGTTGTTTTCTCTCATAATCTTATCCTTGAAAATGTCCTATGTGTGCCGTTCTTTAGGTTGAATTTAATATCTATCAGTAAACTAGCCTATGATTCCTTATATGTCACCATTTTCTTCACCCAATTTTGTGTCATTCAGGACCTTCGCTCGGGGAAGATGATTGGGACAGGAACTGAAAGGGATGGACTTTACTACCTCGACCCATCAAAGAAAGGAACATGCAACAATATTCAAACCGTCTCACCAAAGCTTTGGCACCAACGCCTAGGACACCCATCTCATAAAGTCACTTCGTTAGTACCTTTATTTAACAATAAGGCTTGTGATTTGGAAAAATGTTTAATTTGCCTATTGGCCAAACAAACAAGATCACCCTTTCCTTTGAGTTCTATTTCTACCAAATCATGTTTTGAATTATTACATATTGATATTTGGGGTGGTTATCAAGTTGCTTCTATTTCAGGTGCCAAGTATTTCCTTACCATCGTAGATGACTACACTAGAAGCACTTGGGTTTATTTGATGAAACATAAATCTGACACAAAAGACATTTTAGTCGGATTCATTCAAATGATTGAGACTCAATTCAATACCAGAGTTCAAATCATACGAAGTGACAATGGCCCTGAGTTTAAGCTTGAGCAATTTTATGCTCTCAAAGGCATCATACATCAATCTAGTTGTGTCAACACACCACAACAAAATGGTGTTGCCGAACGTAAACACCGGCATTTGCTCAATGTTGCTCGGGCTTTGCTCTTTCAAGCTTGTTTGCCAAAACGTTTTTGGGGGGATGCAATCTTAACCTCAGCCTACCTCATCAATAGAACACCCACTCCACTTCTCCAAGGTAAAACACCTTACGAAAAACTGTTTCACAAAGCACCTAACTATTCCCATTTAAAGGTTTTCGGTAGTTTATGTTTTGCTTCTACACACGCCCAAAGGCCCTCTAAATTCGACCCCCGTGCAATCCAATGCATTTTTCTTGGGTATCCTTATGGTCAAAAGGGTTATAAATTGTTTGATATAAAACACAATAAGACTTTTGTTTCTAGGGATGTTGTTTTTTTTTAAGATCATTTTCCATTCCAAAATCATACCACTTCCGCTGCCCCGTCTCCATCAAACATTACACCCTCACCCATCACGTTTGACTTGACCTCTCCCATTGAGTCGCACTCAAGCCTTGCACCCGAAGAAATAAACATCACCTCTCCCACACTTGCCGACATCACACCACTCTCATCTCCTTTACCTACTACAACTCCACCACCAGATACCTTATCAACACCTTCACATACCCTACATTCTTCACCACCTCCAACCACTCAATCACCAGACCAACCACCTCCACTCCGTCGTAGCACTCGACCGACCAAAACTTCCACATTTTTGCAGGACTTTCATGTTGAGGTGGCCCTCCCTTCCCGTGTGTTGCTCCCACATCTTCCACAAGCATGGTTCAGTCATCAGGTACATCTCACCCCATATCTCGTTATTTATCTTATGACCATGTATCCCCCACTCACAAAACCTTTCTCACCACCCTCACCATTATCAAAGAACCCACCAGTTTTTCGCAAGCTGTTCAGGATCCAAAATGGCGTGACGCCATGCAAAAAGAGATTGTTGCCCTTCATGACAATCGCACTTGGACTCTTGTGCCCTTACCACCTCACAAACATCCCATCGGTTGCAAATGGATCTATAAGGTGAAGCTTAAACCTGACGGCAGTGTTGAACGCTACAAAGCTCGTCTCGTTGCTAAAGGCTACAGTCAAATTACGGGGCTTGATTATCGGGAAACTTTTGCTCCGGTTGCCAAGCTCACTACTGTCCGCGTCCTCCTGAGTATTGCCTCCATACGAGGCTGGCATCTTCATCAACTTGATGTGAACAACGCATTTTTGCATGGTGACTTATACGAGGAGGTTTATATGTCCCTGCCTCCTGGGTTCGGACGAAAGGGGGAGACACGAGTATGCAAATTACACAAATCCATTTATGGTTTAAAACAGGCCTCGAGACAATGGTTTATCAAGCTGTCTAGTGCTCTCAAGACTGCTGGTTTTCATCAATCATGGTCAGATTACTCATTGTTCGTCCGAAACCGTCAAGGCAGTTTTATGGCATTACTTGTGTATGTTGATGACGTGATACTTGCAGGTAACAATTTGAGAGAAATTGAAGAGACTAAACTCTTCCTTTCCCAACATTTTAAACTAAAGGATTTGGGAAAACTCAAATACTTTTTGGGGATAGAAGTTGCAAGATCTAAACAAGGGATTGCCTTGTGCCAACGCAAATATGCGTTGGAGATACTAGAAGATGCTGGGTTCCTTGGTGCGAAACCCTCACGATTACCAATGGAACCAAACCTGTCCCTTACACAAACTGATGGGACGCTCCTACATGATCCTTCTTCATACAGGCGACTCGTAGGGAGGCTGATTTACTTAACCATCACGCGGCCTGACCTGACTTATGTAGTTAATATGTTGAGCCAATTCATGGACAAGCCACGACAACCACACCTTGAAGCGGTGCATAAGGTTCTCAGGTACATCAAACAATCTCCTGGACAGGGAATTCTTTTGCCTTCTACAGGTTCACTACAATTACAAGCCTTTTGTGATGCTGATTGGGCTCGGTGTAAAGACACTAGAAGGTCAATAACCGGTTATTGTATCTTCCTTGGACAAGCACCGATATCTTGGAAAACGAAGAAACAAAGCACAATATCTCGTTCTAGTGCAGAGGCAGAATACCGTTCTATGGCTACTACTTGTTGTGAAGTTATATGGCTAAGAAACATTTTGAAGGACTTGCAAGTAAATCATCATGCACAACCAGTCACAATGTTTTTGTGATAATCAAGCTGCCATGCACATTGCTTCGAACCCAGTGTTTCATGAACGAACGAAGCATATAGAGATAGACTGTCACCTAGTACGTGAGAAGATTCAAATGGGAATGGTGCAAACAGCTTACATACGGACCTCGAATCAACCTGCAGACTTGTTCACCAAACCACTAAGCTCGGCACAATTTGAGGTCTTAATTAGCAAGTTGGGTGTCATCGACATTCACACTCCAACTTGAGGGGGAGTGTTAAAATGCATGAAATAAACATGTTGGAATAATGGTGAAATTAGGCTAGTCAACTTTCTTGTTCAAAGTTAGGCAAGTTAGGTTAGTCAAGCAAGATAGGTAAGTTAGGCAAAATTAGGCTTATGATCTTTTTCTTCCCTATATATATGTTTCATCTTGTAATTGTTTCATCAAGCAAATATTCATCAAAATTCAATAAACATACTAACCTCCAGGTTTTATGAAAACTCATATAACATGATAAAAATAGGTTTTTCGAAACCTAGCATGCCGTGCAATGTCTCAAAACATAACTCATATATATCGTAATCACTAGTGAATGTCCAATATCCCTCCAGGCCCCATGCCTGCTCTGCGTCTCTGTGCCAATTGCCAGAGGAAAATCACCCACAGGCCCCGTGCCAGCTCCCCGTCCCTGTGCTAATAGCCAGAGGAAAACCATCTTTAGGCCCTATGCCAACACCGTACCCTCGCTTGTGATGGAATCTATCCCTCGTCCCGTAGCGGAATAGGGACCACTAGGTAAGTACAACACCATCGAACATATATATAATTGAAAAGCATCTTCATAGTATAAAGTCATACATCATCTATATTATAAAGATGTGAAATCCCGTTCCTGAATTTCACTATTGTAATCTACGTATTTCGTATGGGCGGGATTTATAGTATTTTCATGAATTTAAATTAATTCTAGATTTTAATTACCTAATTACAAAGTTTGAATTTTTGGAGTTATATCCGTAGACCTTCAAGGGTCACTTTTAATGTTTTTAATTGGGCTTGACCTCACAAGCGCTTAAGCGAAGGCCATATGTGAATCGGATCGAGAAAGGAACTTTATGGATGTTTTAGAAGTTTCTTCAAAAAATAAAAAATAAAAAATAAAAATTGGGAACCAATCAGGAAAAAAAAGAAAATGAGGAAAAAAAGAAGAAGGGGGGAGTTGCGGGAGAGACAGGAGAAAAGGGGGGGAGAGGAGGAATAGGAGGAACAAGGAGGGAGGTGGACGAATCAGATTTTAAAAAGGGTGAGGAGCAGCCAATCAGGAGGAGAGCAAGGAGGGGGAAGGAGAGACCCGAGTTGGGTCGTTTTCGACCCGTGAACCCTCAAATTTGACACGGCCGTATCTCCCTCATCCGAACTCCGTTTTGGGTGATCTTGGTGTCCATGGAAAGCCCTTGATGAGTCCTACATCTTTGTATTGTTAGATTTCCCAATTTCTTTCCCATTTTTCCTGTTCGAAGCCACAAACCCACGGGTGTTCCGGCGGCTTTATCCCTTTTCTCGGTGGCTCCGGGAAGTTTCACCATCCATGACCACCACCAAAAGACTTCCTTCAACCCCAGGAACAAAGCCCAAGCAGTGTTGGAGGCGTCGGAGTTCGATTTGAAGCCGAATCAAAGCACACCATTTTCTAGGGTTTTGGCGCGTTTGAGTGAAATTGAGTTGTTTCCCAGCCTAATTGGACTTGGACACAGTTATAAAGTTTGCTCTACTCTTTGAGATCTTCATTTATGTAATTGTTGGTAATTTTTAAAAATAGTTGAATTTTTCCGGCAAGTCGGGGCGGCCGACCGCCACCTGCAGCGGCGGCCTGGGAAGTGGGTTGAAGACGTCCCTTTAAGTTCAAATAAATGCCTTGGTTTCATAATTGATATTTGTATGATGTAATTTGATTGTTTGGACTTAGTTTCATTATGATACCTTACTTGGTCTAATTATGAATCAACAATCTGACCGTTGGATCGTCTCCAAACCTTACTTCGTGATAGAACATAATAATTGTGCATCATAGAAAATTACAGATCGGGAATCCGACGTACGGATCTTCCCTAATTGGATTTCTAAGTTGGTAAAATAAATTGTTGACCGCCACTTAATTTTAGTAATTGGTGAAGATCTGACCGTCGGATCGCGATGGGAATTTAGTATGTTATTCTAGAGGCATAATGTGGACTTTGGGAAGTTACGGATCTGAAATCCAATGTGTGGATCTTCCGGACTGAATTGTGTAGAATTGTGGACCCTACCGTTGACCGAGGGTTGACTTTTGGTCAACATGTCTCGAAACGTTCCCAATACTAAAATTAGTACTACGGGAGACTTAAGTGAAGTCTAGTAGACCTATATTGGTTGGAGAGTGACTTGAATATTGTGATATGGTTATTACCTTAATTTCTTATATTAATATCATTTGTAAACATG